GATACAGGACTATAATGGAATAATAATAATAATAATAATAATAATAATAAGATCTTTTAGTACCTTAGCTCTATTTCTTAGCTCTGTAGCCTTTATGCTGCTCTTGTAAATCTACCTTCTCCCGGATATTCGTAGTTGGCCAATATATCAATTTTCTAACAAATATGTCATCTATGCGGACGTGGAGGACGGTTGAGGTGGACCAGTAAGCGGGTTACCCGTGGGAGCAGTGCCATCCGGGGGTGAACCACCACCTCCAATGTTAGAATGCTCATTTTCAACACCACCCTCAGAGGTGTAGTAGACAGCCGGGCTGACATCGTACGAGGCTGCAGTATCCATCCCAAAAGCAATCCAGCCAAAGATACCGTCAGACACATCATCGCCAAGCAGGACGTATTCAACAAATGGATCAACATCGGCAGCTTCTCCAGCTAGAATGTTATCGTCGGCGTTGGTCGTAAGCTCCTGAGTGTTGCTGGCATATGGTTCTTGTGTCTCAACTAGCGAGATGAGATCCTGATCGAAGAATAACTGGCCAACATGGGTGATGTTACCACCGGCCAGGGTGTTGTTATCGTTCAAGCTAGCACTGACATGGCTAAGGACATGGATATGGGTCTAAGTCTATATAAGTGATTGATCAAGAAGAGGACATAGAATGGGCCTTACAGCACGACCAGTATAGTGTCCTGGGAAAACCGTCTTAAAGGTGACAACACCATCATCATCAGATAGATTGATACCGCGGCCAAAGGTGGCGTTAAGGTTAGACTCATCGGAAGAGTCACCATTACCGTTTGCAACGACACCAGAGTAAACGCCAGTAGAGTTGCAATGCCATGCCTCAAGATAGACCTGAGGGACAGGCTTACAAGTGTTAACGTCGATAACTTGGATGTCAAGAGTGAGTGGTACTCCTGGCTCGCCATCGGTCATGTCTTGACGGATGAGCTCGCCAGAAACCCAGTAGGGGCCTTGGGTCGTCTCAGGCGAAAGAATGCAGCTGTTGTTGCCCGAGAAGAGAACTGACGGGTCCGTGTTAGGAGTAACACAAGTAAGATTCGACTTGTGGTTAGTGGCGAGGACGGCGTCAAGATCGCGGGCTTGGAGATAGGGCTTTACTATATTATGGATCAGTATCACTACCCACTCTGAAAAGGTTATGCTAGAAACTTACCGGCGCTGATAAGATTTTTCTCACGCGCCTGCTCGGCTAAAGAACGACGACGATTCTGCATGGCAATATCATTGCCCCTCGCCTTTAGCTGATCAGCACAATGAGCCAGCGAGCGTTTGTGGTTGCTTAGATAGGCATTGCGTTCTGCTGCCTCCCGTTTCATCTCGGCCTTGCTCTGGCCAGGATGAGCCACCGCAAGGACAGAAAGGCTGAGAAGCGTAGAAGCAACAGAGATCTTCATATTTTTATAGTGAAGAGTAGAATGTGTCCAGCGAAGAAGTCTAAAGGGAGAATGATAGAAGTCATAGAAAGAGGGGACAAGTGGATGTACTAGGTGAGTAGTGATGCTTTTCTGATATGCTCTCAAGACTTATATAGAAAACGGCTGCAGCAAAAATCTAATGCACGTAGACAGTCTGACGGTAGCCAAGAACTAAAGTGGAGATGTACGTACGTACTTCATGTACCGTTGCGCTTTACCGTTGTAGTCAATGTACACGCAACCAAGAGGCTAAGCCTTTCAAAGCAGTCTCCCAAATGACTTGGCAACCCTCTTAGTCGACTTGGCAATCGTATTACGTGGAAGTCTATTCCTGGTGAGGACCATGCCAGCCTGTGTCACAGCTGAAAACAATCCCTATCTATTGTAGCGCTACAAGTCTTATCTGAGAGCTCTCGAATGATGTGAATATACTTCTCGAATGAAAATTGGAAACATAAAGACTAAGTAATCTTCTTGCCAGTTATTCCTATCTTAACATCGTTACAAGCATTCAGCTGAAACTGTAAATACCTACGTATCACAAACAACTAATTCAGTGGCACTCCCTAAGCAAATGACAGAAAATATTTCTCAGCGGCTCTCTGGGGTTTGCTATCGTGAACGCGCGTCTGGCGGGTCAAAGCACGAGCGTATTCTAGTGCTTCAAGGCTAAGTGATTTCTTAGCGCACCTGAGTACCCTATCAGGGCTCTGACATTACCTACGCATGCATGATCTCAACAGTAGGGTTTCTGGGCGAACTGCCACAACGTCGGTCTGCTAGTTAACTATCAGCGCAATAAGATGCAAATTACAGAGGTGCCTTCAGAAAGTTCTTGCTAACGGAAGTCATCTGTATCACTACCGAAATACTACCGAAGATTGATCGGATCTGTCCAGCCGCCCCTAGGGGCTTGATCTCGCTACACTTGGACCTTCCTCCTAATCGACCCATCTAGCCTCCTGGGCCAGCGTCTTATTATACCCGTCTGATCTAGACATCTAACACGCAACGCGACGCGACGCGATAGAACATACCCGTACTAACGTGGTTTGTAATTGAGTGTCTTACCCAATCGAGCGGCTTAACTAAGCCAGCGCGTTAACCTCAAGGATCATTTAGTGTCACCCTAATATGCATCGGTATCCGAGCTCAGAGAAGTTGTACACAGTAGGCCGCTTGCCTAGGGTATGAGGTGTCGTGGTAAGATCTCCGATAATTTCAGCAAATCGGACGTGCTGGCCATCCATGAACAGGTCAATCTCTTCGCGCTTTAGTGACCTCCCTTGCCAACCAACGCAAGGTAAATGACTTCAGATTTTCATGTTGTGAGCGATAAAAGTTTAAGGATTTCCCTAATCGCTTGTTAATCTGTGCCTTTCGTTATCTAGCTTTGACTGAATAGAGAGAAAAACTAATGAGAAAACTCACCTATTTGGCGTGCGCGACTGAACCTGAACTCAACGAACGACGACTTTTGAAACGTCGTTAGTACAGCGCAAGCGAGTTCTTAGAGCCGTAGCAATTCAGGTTGTCGCACTCCATCGCATAAAATGCTACCTTGAAAAGCTGAGATAGAACACTCTATCAGACACCAAGATCGCTCCATATATTCGTCATCAGCGATAATAACAACTTTTATCTTGCGTAATAATGGATTGAGCGTTTCCAGATAGGCATCCGAGATACAATCCTCAGCTCGAGTACGAGGTTCTTCAGGCAGACTGCAATACTCGTAGAAAAGAAGAGCGTCTGAGTCAGCCGACTGCTTCCCCTCAGGGTCTAGGCGGTCCCTCGCAATCCAACAATAAGAAATAAAGTGAATGTGCTCTTCCAGGTCGCTAAAATTTCCGTTCTAGAGTTCGTACTCTTCTGGAAAGGGATCCTGGTAGCGTTTCCACGTTCTCCACATTCGAATAGAGCTGAGCCAGATAAACTTGTAGCTATTAGTGGGCCAGCCGTTGGTGGCGATTTCTTGACAAAGGCTAAGCGATGACTTAAAATCCCTAAAATACATGATAAGATTGATATTAGGAAGATTGGATGGTAAGAGAATTGAAGAAGTAAGCACGTATGATTAGAGCGACCAAGTAGGTGTTCGAAAGACAAGACGAGACCACTAGCTGGCGCAAGAGTTGTACGAGAGTCAGAGCAGGGCTGAGATCGAGGGGATTAGAAGGGCGAAATGAAGCGATAACGATGACCAAGTATTTTTAATTGATAGCCAAGAGTGCGTTCGCTTGTTGGACCAGGCAGCCGGTAATATTTGACGCTCCACAGGCAGATCCTCGTACCGTTATTGTCTTGAAAGACAGATCAGGTGCTAGCGATTGGCCCATTAGTAGTCAAAGAGCTTGGCTGAAGATAAGGAGAAAAAGAAGTATGGGTTTGTGGATATTGAAAGCGTCAATGCAGTACTATATGGAAGCTCTGCAAGGACTGTGTAGAACATGGGATGAGTCATGTGCTTGCTGATAGATAAATATCTACAATCTGCCATTTCGATACCCTTGAAGCTATATGCATCAACATGGTAATTTTGCTTATATCTGGGAGACCGTCGAGTTCAGGGCTCCAATAGGCTGGTAAGTGGGCTTCCTACCTTAAGCTGCGAGGAACTAGGATCAAAGAGCTCTTTGAAAAGCACAACATGGGGTGTAATAGAGGTGCATTCGAGGAAAAGGCAGCAACTATTTACTGGAGTGCTGATATATACGTACGGGTCGTGAAAAGATGCTCTTCCACGATCGAGCATCGCGGTTCAGATGAGCCGAATTTGTGTGACCCGGGTTGCATCCGGATCCTGTGATCGCGTGCCAAGATCCCATCGAGGAGCGTTTCCAAACGGTGTTCAGCCCGTCACATTATTCATTCATAAACCAATCAAATGCTTGTTCAAACTAAGCCACTACTGACCCTTGTGCGACCAACTAGTTCAATTCGAGGAACCCTAATATACATCTTTTGAATAACTAAATAATCAATCACTACACGAAGTCCTGCTTCTCTACTAGACGAGAATACAGGCCCGGAGCTAATACCTAATATACATGGTTGATCATAACATGGTTACTATACATTCTCTAAATGTAGATACCCTCTATTCTACTACAATCTCAGCATCGTTCCCACGTCGTGTAAGCCTAGCCCGGACGTTTGTCTTCTCACTGTTGTGCACCTCATTCAACATCGTAGAGTCCTCTGTTAGGCTTGCCCTAGCGATATAATCCTTAACACCCTGCGATTCAGCAACTTGCGCAAATGCGAACCAGACATTTCCAACGATTGTCAACTTGGTTTTTGTAATAAATAAGACGACCAGCAATGCTAGAAGAGCAAAATGCGTAAAAAGGGTCCACATGATGATGGTGAGACCGACATGACTGCGCGGATATAGAACGTTTTCGAAGAAAGAAACATCGACAGTATCGACACGGTCAAATGCAGCCTGTTGACTGTAGTAGTTGGTCATGGAAAGGACAGTGATGAGAGAAGACAGCGCCCACTCGACTGAGAAGCCAGCTTCAATTGCGCCGGTAAAGATGGCAGCAAGAGCAGGATCTGCTGAAATGATTTGTGTGGGAAGCGACTCAAAGTTACGAAGGTGCGTTACTACAGGCCTACCCGTGAGAAAGACTGACCAGTTCCCCGGCAACGGTACATTCGTTCCCTTAACTGCTGCCGAGCTGCCGCCCATGTCGCTTTGTACGACCGGACGTCGATATGGAGGTGGTAAATCTCCTAAAAAGCTGTGAGGCTTTTCCAATTCCATGATTTGTCGCCTTGGATTTTTCGTCGCAGGTATCAAGTGGGCCAGCACCTCTGACGGCTTGAAGCCTTTCCAGTATCGGAGCATCGGTTCGGTCCTATTGACTTTACTGTGAATCTCAACATTAAGAATCGCAGCATCCCATGGTGCAAAACACAGCGTAAGGGAGATGAAAGGTTCTACAGTTTTGTTCGTCTTTGGAAAAGAAAAAGTCCGCCACATTTCTTCTTCGCCGTTACTCCTTGAGCCATGAATGACGAGGAATGCGGTTCCAAATGCCTTAGAGTTTTCAAATTGACTTTTGAAAGAGCCCATGAAAACATTGTCGGATAGACCTAGCTGGCATATCGTAGTTTCATCCTGCCCAGCTACTGTACAGTCGAAAGGCGTCGGTTGGATGGACTGCAATCCTGTTGCGTTTTTGGAAGGTGATACTACGCCTTTGACCTGTCCATTAAGTCCTTGACCGTCAAATTCTGTGATTAAGGGTGCTTGGCAAGTAACTCTGGCATCAATTGTCAACGCGTTTCCCGTGTACGTTGCTAAGGCCTGACGCAACTCGGTGGCTGCATATGGCAGAAAGGCCCGCAACAACATTCCGGTATCAACGACCCCATCTGTAGGCTCTTCAGGCAGCTCGTGATACTCGCCGAATGTTGCATAGTTGGGCGGATTCGTAGTCCATGCTGAGTCACGAGCTATCCTCTCTATACCTCCGACGGGATAAGATAAGCAAGGGAGTACCTCGGCAGGAGTGACAGCACCAATTAGCGGGCCTTGCTTGAGATCTGACAGTAATAGAGTTGAAGAGAACTGAACAACAGTGGTCGTAATCAACAAACAAATTGCCATGGCATACACATGATAATTGTGTCGGGATTGTGTCGTTGATCTCCAGAACTCTTCCAATACGCAACGAATAAATGCCCAAGGGCTCGTACTATCAGTCCGCATGGCTGATATTCTGGCTGTGTGAAACACATGTATTCCAGATTTGGATTCCAACAATAGGGAAGCAAGGATAGCGCAAGCGACGGTAGCCTGTATGTCCACAGACGTCCTTAGCACGAGGGCTGTCACGGCTACACATCGCGTAGCCCAACCTTGAACCATTATATGGGACCAAGTTTTGTTCCGGCTATCGCCAAACCATAAGAATAACAAGAAGGAGCACATGGCGAGCACAGCTAGGGAGCTTGTAAGAAGAGCAAGTAGAGACGCTGAGCTTAGTCGTTGAAGATCATCCTTCTCTGGAGCCACAGACGTGTTGATGGATGAAACACTAGTATCGGGTTGCACCGGATCTATAGCATCCATAGATAATTGTGTACTAACTTTGGGTCAGTAGTGAGGTACTAGATACTCTGCTTTACTTACGGCTCTACCGACGCATAGATGTGCCCATCACGAGAAGACAACTTTCTCCAACCAAGCCAAATGGCAATGAAAACACACAAGGACACCATAGCTGTTATGGAGACGCTAGGCGATATGATCCGTGTCGAAGGGCCGGATCCAAAACCGTCATATACCGGGATGGATGTCGTTGCGGGTTCGCGGGCGAGCGCTACCGACGAGGTGGTGATTGGCGCAACGCCTATGTTGTTAATTGCTGGATCTCCGAAGAGCTCAATTTGCTCCGGTCGTTGCATGAATGCAGGGGCCAAACCGCCATGAGGGCAATCGTCTGAAGCACAGGGGTTGCTTTTGCAGCACCCAAAGAAGGTTTTTTCACCGGAGCATGTATAGAAATTGGCACTCGATCCACAGGAGAGGTCTGGGAAAGTGCCAAAGATCGCTGCATCGAAATGGACAGGATAGAGATGTTGTTGCGGACATGTAACGCTACATGGATTGACTGCGCAGCAACCGGCGAAGAACGTCCCTGTTGAACAACCGTACCATTCTCCGCCTGACGGACACCAGATAGATTGGTTCCGGCTCATTATTTCAGTGACGTACTATGCGCTAGAAAAGAAGGCAGAGTGATAAATGGCGAAGGAGTAGTAGCGCGTAACCAAGACGCTTCACTGACGCTGAGGGTGAAGTCTTCGTTGATTTCTGCTGGCAACCCTCTCTTTCAGCCAAGAGTGGGGTAAGGAGTCCTGGCCTCTGCTCTTGTTTGGGGACCGAAAGCTGGCATCGAGGCTGCGGCTTGGAACACCACGCCCCAATTGGATGCTAAAATTAGACCATGTTGGCTGATTGGCCAAACAATAAGGACTAGTATTTGCAGGTGTAACACATGAAGGGGCTGAGGGAGCTGAGGGAGCTGATGTAGCTCTCTCAGCTCAGCCGCCTTCGCTTCAACGTTATGGATCTCGCCATGGTCACTTGATGAATGCACTTTACATGCGAAAGCCAACCCTTTCTTTTGCTAGTCCTACATTCCACTTAGTCTTGGAAAGGAAGACGAAAATCAACATTGCCGCACTGGGGTTTGGATGGGTGGATTAGGGGACTTCTGGAGACATGATTCCTGGCAGTTAGCGAACCGAATATTCAGCACGCAGTCTGAACTCAGCATGCTCATCCTCCTATCATCATCAAGCTACATGCCAGCACCGGCCTTGTTGTCCTTGCCGTCGTCATTGTTGTTCCAATGACTGCCGCCGCTAGCGGACGTGAGCTCTGGTGTGTCTTAGTGAGCCGTCTTTATTGCGACGGTGAGGACGGTAGGCCACGAATGTGTGCAACTTAGTGATGCCCCAGCCAACTGCAGAGCGGACCATCTTGACACGCTCCTGTGCCTCAACGACGTGTTTCTCAGCTATCATAGAATGTAGTTTCGCCCTCGGTGGCGCCGCGGTCGGTATTCTGCATGATATCGTCGCGTTCGGTGGTTACGGGTTTTGAGCAATGACGTCGGATATTCAGCTCGGATGATGCATCGAGCGGGTGTTCCCACACGGGGATGCTTTTCTGCTTGAAGTATTGGACAGCTGTGTCGAATAAAGCGGTCGCCTAGTCGGAGAGTGTGGTTGCAGTAGGTTGCAGTTGCTGCATGATGTTCGCGTTGGGTTTGATGCCCCTCTCAAGACGCGTCTTTCGCGTTGTTGACTGTCGGAGCGGCTGGGGTCTGTGCGTACTAAGTAGTAAGTAGTAAGTCGGTGCTCACGGACTATAATTTTTCCGTGCCCTGCCTGGCCAAGTCTCGATACCAATATGTACATAGAGGGTGCATTGGGCGTTGAATTCAGGTGAAATGCCTTGTCCGGGCTGCCGTGTCTGTGTGCACAAGAAATACCGCGGTAAACTTTATCCCGAAATGCAGCAGAGCGGCAAAACTATGTATGGTGCACTCGCCAGTCCATGTCACGGAAATATTCCAAGAAGCCGCCCAGAGGCGCAGAAGTCGTGCTGGCTAAATACCGTCTAAAGTGGGTGAAGTCCCCAAGATGCAACCCGCCACACTAGTCCCGTCACAGGCAAGATGCTTCAAGGATATCCAGATTTCGGGTTAGCCCCAGGCGGGGTTGGACTGAATGTCGTGGGCCATGACGTTCCCTGGGGGTGAAGCAAGGGCATCGACGACGAGTGCCAACACCAAAACTCTCCCGGGTGGCGGGACGGCGGGAGGTAAGCCGAAGATATAGGGTAGGGTAGATTGGCGTCTGTATATAATTCATCCTGGGTACCTCTGCCCGGGTCTTTGAGAGTGCCATTGGAACTCACCATGAGGTTTACCACTCTCATCCAATCGCTGCTCGCCTTGTCGGCGTCGACATGGGCAAAAAACTCAACCTACTACAACCCCGTTCTCCCTGGCTGGCACTCCGACCCATCATGTACCCCCGTCAATGGAACATTCTTCTGCGTAACATCAACATTCATCTCCTTTCCCGGTCTGCCCATCTACGCATCAAAAGACCTGGTCAACTATAAACTCATCAGCCATGTCTGGAACCGCGAGTCCCAGCTTCCGGGCTACAGCTATGCCACCGACTCCCAGCAGCAAGGCATGTATGCTGCTACTATCCGCCACCACCAGGGCACATTCTACGTCATCTGCGAGTACCTGGGCACAACCGGCAACCGTACCAATGGTGTCTTGTTCAAGACTACCGACCCATTCAATGAAGCTAGCTGGAGTAACCCAGTCCTCTTCCGCGCTCCAAAAATCGACCCTGATATCTTCTGGGACGACGACGGCAAGGTCTACGTAGCTACTCAAGAAATCCGCATCCAAGAGATCAACATCGACACCGGCGCCATGGGACCCGTCATCAACCTCTGGAACGGCACCGGCGGCGTTTGGCCCGAAGGCCCTCACATCTACAAGAAGGACGGATGGTACTACCTCCTCATCGCAGAGGGCGGCACAGCCGAGGACCACGCCGTTACCATGGCCCGCGCCAAGACCATCACTGGCCCCTACACCCCCAGCCCACACAACCCGCACCTCACCAACCGCGGCACTGATCAATATTTCCAAACCGTCGGTCACGCAGATCTCTTCCAAGATGGCAACGGGAACTGGTGGGGCACCGCCCTGGCCACGCGCTGGGGACCCCCCAACAGCTCCTACTTCCCAATGGGCCGAGAAACCGTCCTCTTTCCCGTGACATGGCCCACCGGCGAATGGCCCATCATGCAGCCCGTCCGCGGCATCATGTCCGGCTGGGAACTCCCCGCTCTGTCTCGCGACATCCCCGGTACCGGGCCGTTCAACGACGACCCAGACGTCTATGACTTTCCTGCTGGAAGCCAGATCCCGCGCAACTTGGTATACTGGCGGGTACCGCGACCAGGCATGATTAGCGTATCGGAGAACGGCTTGCAGGTCGTGCCGAGTAAGAACAACCTGGGAAACAAGTTTAACAATACCACACCGTCAAGCAAGGCCATTAGCTTTGTGGGACGCAGACAAACTGACAGCACGTTCAAATTTAGCGTGGATATGACCTTCAACCCGACTCAGGACGGCCAGGAAGCCGGCATCACCGCGTTCCTAACGCAATATGCTAATGTGCAGCTTGCTGTTACTCGCCTTAACGGCTCAACCGTGTTTCGCTTCAACTCGACCGAGTCCCGGAACAAGTACACGCCTCTTCCCGAGGCTTGGGAAGAAGAGCCCATCCGCCTCATGATTGACATGTGCACCCCAGACGAGTACTTGTTTTCCGCTACCTTGGCCGAGGGCGACTCAGAGACGCTCCAGTTGGGCAAGGCGGCCACAAGTCAGCTGAGCGGACGTACGGGCAGTTTTGTCGGTACGCTGATTGGGGTTTATGCGACGTGTAATGGGGCTGGCGACCATGTTCTGGATTGTCCGGAGAATACGCCCAAGGCCTGGTATAATAAATGGAGATACGCCGGTCTGAAGCAGTGGGTTGATAAGGGCATTAGTGTGGCGAGTGAGGGGTTTAATCAGGGGATTTGATCGGGTGGAAATGAGTGCTGAGACATAGTGAACATTTACTACGGAGGTGCCTCTCAAAAGTATTGTCTAACGCTAATCTCAGCGCTTCGGCGTAACTCTTCTTAGCGCGACTCCCACCTTTAAGCTGAGGGGCTGTCTAATCAGTCTACCTATGTAAGGTGTTTCGCAGATAGGCACAATATATATCAATAAGTAGATTAAGACGAATCCTTAGGGGGATACCCAAGGGTTCTAGCCAGGCTACATACTCTATCTCTGTGGCTGTCGCTCCTCCAGCCCAAGTGGTATCCGTCGGGTCCCCGAGGGCTGGCCTCTACTATCTAGAGTATCGTGACAACCTATTACTACGTAGCTATCTTTTTACTACAGCTCCTTATACTAGTATATATAACTCTACCTTAGTAATTATATTAAATTTACTAAACTCTCATATAACGTAAAGCACCACCGAGCCGGACACACCACCGAGCCGGACACTTTTTCTTGGCATCGCGAAC